GGTTTGTACCTCCAATGAAGAGCAATAAATTCGTTACTAATTACTATAACATGTGTTGTTTTCTTATTATTATCACTCACTAAAGAGTGATGCTCTTTAACACATATTATGTAGGTCAGTTGTGATTTGTCGTCAGACATACCCCAACATACCCAAAAAGAGTTAAGGCAAAGTTTTGCAAAGTTGTGTAAGCTCTTGTAATGGACTTTAAATGTCTTACCTTTAAATTTTGCAGGATATTTTAAAGAGATTGCACTCCTCCGTTTTTTTGTTGTTTTTTTTTCTTTAAAACGCGGACACAAACATTTGCTAAAAATTAGCAAAATATCTGCAAGGATATTCAGTGGCGTTCATTTTCCAAAAAAAATGTAGTAAGACAGGGGAAGTGGATCGAAAGTGAGGAGGTGTAACAGTCGAGTCGAGAAACTTAGCAGAAATGGCAAAGTAGTTGCGTCACTTCTTGTTGAAAGCAGCCACAGTAGAGATGTGGTCAAGATTTTTACTGCCTGAATTTAGTACATTTAATGCGTGAAATTTAATAGTAATTTTGAATTTTGCTTCTACTGAAAACTATATGCTACATCGAGAAGTAAGAAATATCCTAAAAATATTTTAATTGTGAAATACTTCTTTAATTTAGGCTTAAGCGCTTATTCTAACCCTAGTATAAACCGGAAGTTAAATGGTGTGAATGAGGAAAGAGCAGGAAACTACACAGAAGTAATATCTTTATTCTCCGCATTGTATTAAAAGATCAGGAAACTTAAACAGAAGTAATATCTTTATTCTCCGCATTGTATTATCGCTTAGATTTAAACATCATTTGTGTATTTAAAAGGGTTTATACATGTGAAATACGCGAATTGGCAATTATCTCAAGTGAAAAAAATTATATTTTGCTGTGGAAGTGTTTACAAGTATATATGAACAAATGATGTGAAATATTTATATGAAACTGTTTGTAAGTATATACAACTAAATTAAGAAAAATAGTAAGATAACATTAAATGATATAGATAGTTTATTCATGGATTTGGCCCTGAAGAGGGAAACAAATGCAGTGTTTTACACCAGTGATCATCAATTTCTTGAATAACCATATAGCATTTGAAGTTCATAAACAGCTATAAAAGAAAGAGAAAGAGGTCCAAAGTGAACCTAACCCTCTCAGATCACACACAACGACCAAACGACGATAAAACTAAGATCCACGTTGTACACAGTAAACAAATACCCCATCTAGATAAACAAACACAGTCACAATTGAAAAGAATTACTGAACAGCAATCTGACATAATTACAAACCAAACGAATGCTCAACTGACGAATATCCTGTACCCAGACATACTAAAAACACCAGTAACATTACCTAAAAATACAGAAAACAACCCTATATGAAGCAGTCAAAAACACATTAATCCATTTCATCAAAGAATACTAAAACCCCATAAATCAGCAAGATAGTATTACTCTACTTTTTGAAATAGCCAAGAAACATTCGACGCCTATAATGCTTTAAATAATTTAGACATTCACAAGTTCTTTCCTTACCTAAAACTTCAAGACACAATACAACAATATCCAGGGTAGTGTACTAAACAAGTCACCTATAATCAGATCTTACAATATCACCTACATTAACGTAGTAAAAGTGTATTTATAGAGTATTTATGTGAAATACGCACCTGATAAATTGATCTAGTAAACAGTGAATGAACTGTTTGTGGAATGTTATGTGATCAAACTAAGTGAAATCGTGAATAGCACTAAATGCTATAAGCTTAAAATTCATGGTCTGTTTGTTTGTAATTAAGCAGAAAGCTACACAATGGGCTATATGTACTCTGCCCACCACGGATATCAGAACCTGGTTTCTAACGTTGTAAGTCTGCGGACATACTGCTGTTCCACTGGGGGATAAAATTCATGGACGTGGCCCTGAAGAGGGTAAAAAGATTAGTGTAAACATTTGTGCAATATTCTCGGGAATTAATGGCATAGTATTTATCAGTTAACAATATACTCAATGAGGGAAGGTCTAGATAGCACCTGACCCTCCCAAGTCACGAACAACAACACGACCAAATACTGGCTAAGACAATGTGTCCACATTTTAGCTGGATATTTTATCACTGTATATTTTGGTTATTATGATAAATGCTGAAAATTTTATTTACACTCTTTGACTTATAGAATTTTATTGTGATGTGAGATTAGCTCAAACTCAACTATTTACAACAGTCACTGCAGTAACGACATGAGGTTTATTCGATAAAATATTTTAATTTTTCAATAAGTGGGAAAGTTAGTATGAATTTGGTTTTATGATTACATATATATATGTCACAGGTTTATTTTCTTTCTCACCAAAGGTGAGATTGAAATAAGAATCTGTGACATAAAAGCCTAATGCTTTCTTTGTTTGGCTGTACCCTCTGCTGTGGACTGCAGTTTCGCCTATTCAAGGCTCATCAGCACAGCTCGGGTTAGCAAATCAAATAAATATAGTTAGACCTCTTATAACATTAATGGGGTTTTTAAACCCTTTTCAATCACCAGTATAATATACAAATCACTGTAATGAAGAATAGATTTTGTATGTCACTGAACTTAATAGTCATTAAAAAACGTATTTATCTATTCTTTCACTTTATATAAAGATGCACAAAGCTAAATGTACATTCATGACATTCTCTCTCTCAAAATTTGAGAGTACATAAGGAGGTTATTTTCTGTTTTAAGTTACTACTTTCTGTTTTTGATCTAGAATTTACATATATGTGTTGTATGGAAATTCTATTCTTTACAAATATATCTTACCAAAATTTATACATACAAAAATAACAGTATCACCATCTTACATTTTGGGTTGTGTTTTTCAAACTTATCCAAGTGCAAATTCCACCGATAAGCTGACAGCTCGATAACCTTTGATATTTAGGAAGAACACAAAATGAAACATGTATGGATTATATAATACTGGATTGCCAAAATTAAATCACCTTTCATACATGTCTAGTACACTTCAGTTAGTGTACAATTCTCGTATACTTTCTACTCAATTACACACATGAACTGAATGTTTTAACATCTATTTAAGAAAACTTCGAGTATTGAACGGGGGATTATGATCGTAGATCAATCGTTTAGATTTGTAGCTAAACATTCATAATTAACTTGCATGATGACTTATCAAAGATGGAAAGGAGGCTTCTGTTTTCTTGCGAGTCGTCCATCCAAGCATATAGCCTTTATAAATTGACACTTCACTTTATTAGTAAGTACTGTTGCTGCGATGTCTATTTTCGTCGACGAAAAGAAAAAAATTCAGGGACCCATGTTCGATGGCAGCCCTGAGGTCTCATGCTGAGACCGTCCACTTATGCAGCCAAGGGTCCATAAAGCATAGATGAGAATTACGATAGTAGTTGGTAACTTAGTTCCCTCCTACAGTGGAGTAAATCAACCACACAGTTCTCCTATACGTTTCAAAGCTACAAAAAAAACTTACGTTCAATCTATGCTAAACAAAAACGTACAACGAATTTCTTGAATGTCTGAACTCATAGCAATAAGACTGATAGCACTTCTTTACAAATATTTCTTTATTGACCCTTTACTACATATTCTCAATAAGAAGAAACGTAGCAGCATCTGGACTGCATATGCGCAATATTTTTTATTTTATTTTTGTGTTTGTTTGTAATTATGCACAAAGCTACACAATGGGCTATCTGTGCTCTACCCACCACGGGTATCGAAACCCGGATTCTAGCGTTGTAAGTCCGCAGACATACCGCTGTGCCATTGGGGAGCTTTATTTTTGTGATGGCTACTTGCTTAACTAATCCTATATTACTGTATTTAAACTAATGCTATGTTAGGGATTTCTAACATGACGATGGCTAATTGCTTAACTAAAACTACGTTAGGGATTTCTAACATGACGATGGCTAATTGCTTAACTAAAACTACGTTAGGGATTTCTAACATGACGATGGCTACTTGCTTAACTAATCCTATATTACTGTATTTAAACTAATGCTATGTTAGGGATTTCTAACATGACGATGGCTAATTGCTTAACTAAAGCTATGTTAGGGATTTCTAACATGACGATGGCTAATTGCTTAACTAAAACTACATTAGGGATTTCTAACATGACGATGGCTACTTGCTTAACTAATCCTATATTACTGTATTTAAACTAATGCTATGTTAGGGATTTCTAACATGACGATGGCTAATTGCTTAACTAAAACTACGTTAGGGATTTCTAACATGACGATGGCTAATTGCTTAACTGAAGCTATGTTAGGGATTTCTAACATGACGATGGCTAATTGCTTAACTAAAGCTACGTTAGGGATTTCTAACATGACGATGGCTAATTGCTTAACTAAAGCTACGTTAGGGATTTCTATTACGACGAATGCTAATTGTTTAATGAAAGCTATGTTTAGGGTCTCTGACGTGATAATGTCCAACTGTTTGATTAAATCTATATTAAAGGAGCAAGGTATTCCTGAATAACGGAAGCTTATGAATGGTTTTGCTTGAGTCATAATTTACATCTAAAGTTTGGAAAATTAGCTTTAGATATATACAGAAACAAGGAAAATTTATTTTCTTATATTGATTTCAGTAAAAGACTGTTACATACACCTTAAAAGATTCACAATTTTAGAATATTATTTATTTGTAGATCATGAATCGCATTCATATGTGAAAAACTGTTTTCTTTATCTGTACATTAAGCACTCACAGCTAAGTAAGCAAGTGTTTCCTCTATCTTTGGCTTATCACCACTTAGAAACAGTTACTTAACATAAGACTATAATGCTACAATCAGTTGAAAGTGAAAACTTCCCTTTTATTTCCTTGCAACATTTATAAAATTTATTAGAAAAATATATTTTCTGTTAATTATTATTCCAGTTTTTTAAGGAGTTATTTACAAATATTTTATTTTTAATTAAATCAGTAGACACACACAAAAATACAATTATTTTTCAATTTAATAGAGTTAAAATGGTTTGAGTATTATCTTACAAATTTCTCAGCCCTGTGTATCTATGGGCTAAGATGGAACTAACCTTTGCTTCAAGTACAAAAGTTTATTTACTGGTAGGAATTAACATATATATAGTCTGCAAACATTAACAACAGAACACGACACACAAGATTATATTTAAATATGCTGACAGAAAATTGCATTAAAAAGATGTAAACAGTTTTTACTATCTAAATGATCAAGTCAGTTGTCCAAATGAACAATGGAAAATTGTGTTTATAAAAGATGAAATATTGTTTATGTGAAAACCTGCACATTCACATCCTGGTAACTTGCCACATTTGAAAACAGCAATATTCTCATGTTTACTCTAATACAGGAAATTTGTCTCACTATCCTTACATGTACAACAATGCTGATTACAAAAATAAATAATGTATTGGCTGTAGCCCCTCATAATGTTTATTACTTGCATCTAAAATTGTTGATTAGAAGGAGACATCAACAATAAAGTGATCAGTGTTATTTCTCCCTATACTTTTTTCACATCTTTGTAAATGTCTGTCAGTTTCACTGTATGGTGAATTGCCTTATAATTAGCAAATTATATTAATGGTCCTATGTTCCACATTATGGTAAACTATGATTATTGCATTAATGTTAACGTTATATTGAGATATACCACAGAATGACTTGGATCAATTGGTAAGTTGGACAGATACATGGCAAATTACCTTTAATTATAGTTAAGTGCAAGGTAACACATAATTTGGATCCAATGTTTAATACAGATGAGAACAAACTGAATAGCATAACTGGAGAAAAACTCTTGGCATAGTGGTGGATAAGTCACAAGCTAGCAAGTCAGTGCTCTGGTGCTCGTGATAAAGCTAAATTTGTGTTATTTATTGAAAAAATATAAAAAAGAGAGAGAAAGAAAATTATCTCTATACAAATCCCTAGTTAGCCTCATTTGGAATAATGAGTACAGTTTTGGTCTCCTTCTCCAAGAAAGAATATTGACTTATTAAAAAGGAATCAGAGGGTGGCTATTAGAATTAATGCGAGAATGGAGAAAGATCTCTTATTTTCTCTTGAGAAAAAAATGGATAAAAGGTGATCTTATTGAAGTTTACAAGATTATCTTTGAGATCAATAGGATAAAGGTTTTTGATTTCTTGGTGCTGTATTCTAAAGACAATAGGATGAGAGGACACAAGTTTAAGATTTTGAAAAAAAAAAGGCTAGGATCCAGTTAAGACAGTATTATTTTTTTCCAACAGGGTGGTTGGTTAATGGAATGAGTGGCTGTAGGCAGTAGTGGTGACTAACATTTTAGAAGAGATTAAGAGGGGAAAAATAATGGGTGGGTATAAATTTGTAATTTTCTGAAGGGTGGGTGGTTTTCATACATATTGTTATTGTTTAGTCACATAAAATCCACAGTATGATGAATGTCGATTAATCATTTTCCTGCAATGTTGTAGTATTTTCATATTTTGTTATTGGTTGTATGATGTCCACATCTTATGCTTTATTATTTTACTCTACATTGTTGTAATATATTCATGTGTAGTAATGTTTGGAGATGGCTTGAATGGGTAATAAAGAATGGTAGATAAACATTTATCTACTATTGTTTGAATGTAACCTAGTGTGGTACAGTGACTAATCTTTGACAAAGTCATCCTACTCCTTGTTATTACAGGTATTTTAACAGATAATCTGTTAATTGAATTTCATTTAAATGATGTACTAACAACCAATTTATTAAACATTAATATCTTTAAACTTTAAATAATTATGTGAATTGTTTGCTTCCAAAAGCATTGTGGCTATAAAACAATTAAAAACCAGCTGTATATAGTGATAATATTGTTTCAACTCTTTAAGATGTGTCTTCTATACATACTTGAATACACCTACATTTAAGTAACAATGGAATATAAATATAGCTCATTAAAGAATCTACCTTTTTATAACAGTATTCTAATATCTGTCTCTGTTGAGCTCCATGTGTAGAATTCTCTCTTTTACACTCTTGCATGATATATTCCTAATAAATTAGTAACTCCCCGGATGCACCCTATCACCAAAGTATTCTAAATTATTTGTTGCATAGGTTGTAATGGTATGCACTAAATATCAAACTAAGTTCCAATTAATCTGGCTAATATTATGAGCTAATTTGTATCTTAAAAACTCCTTTTGAAATGTCCTGTGACACCCAAGTTCAGCTCTCGCTAAGGAAATCTATTACTTCTCTTGTCTCTCCCATTTCTATAGTGCTATACACCATTTTCTCCATGTTCCCACACTTTGTTATTACATAATCCTGTTGTGCACTTATTAATAATTATGAATTATTTATGTACTAAGGAAATCTATTACTTCTCTTGTCTCTCCCATTTCCATAGTGCTATACACCACTTTCTCCATGTCCCCACACTTTGTTATTACATAATCCTGTTGTGCACTTATTAATAATTATGAATTACTTATGTATGCTCAATTCATGCTCATTATCTTTTATGATGAGCAACTCTGAGGTTATTTTACTATTTTGAAATCTTCAGTAAACATTTTAGAAACTACATTTATCTCAGCTAAATACATTAAAGCACACGACCACCAAGTAAGAAACCAGCAAAAAAAAGTATATTTTCACAAATGTTTTGTATATAATCATAATAAAATTAACAGAATATAGAATTTCAGAAAAGTTTCATCACTTCCATTATCTGTGGGCTAACTTTTGTCAGGATAGTTATGATCCAAGCACTAAGTAATTCTCATACTGTTCTGCTGTTCTCTATAAAACTAAAAACAATTTATAAAAATGGTTCTTGTTTGCCAGGCTTGACTAAAACAAGAGGACTAGCACATGCATGACTCCTGAGGTTTATCTTGAGCAGTTAACTTGAAAGAATCTTTTTTTACCTCTGCTGTCTTTGAAGTAGACACTAATTGACGAGCAATGTCAGCAAACATTTCTTCAACACCATCCCCAGTCTTGCATGACGTTTTGAAGACACCACTGATTAAGTTATGACACTGCTCACAAAACTCATCAATGTCAGTATCTGTAACAAACATCTGATGCTTCAGATCAATCTTGTTTCCACATAAAAAGATTTTGGCACCCTCTGCATAAGTAACAATGTCCAATAAGTGTTGAGACAAAATATTGAAGGAGTCAGGGTTGTCAAAACTAAACACCAAGATAGCAGCTTCTGCAAACTTATAGTAGCTACTGGTGATAGAAGCCACTCGTTCCATCCCTCCAGTGTCCCACAACTGAAGCTGAAAGCCAAATCAACAGTAGTTAAAAACTATCTTAAATACCAATATAGTTGAATCTAAATTCACTACAAAACACAGAATAAAAAAAATTATATATCATATTTAGTAATACAGTTATTTTTGCAGGTGCTTGTAATAGGTGCCATAAGTGATCATAAAAAAAGCAGTAATGGAACCTCCAACACAATGCGTTTATTACCAAACAACTGTGTAAAACAGTCAACCTGTTGGTAACCTTAGATAGCCATGTTCTATAGAGTATGATGAAAACTATCTAACACTTTAATTTTGCCTCACTTTTTATATCAATGCCAAAACCACTTCTCACAAAAAAACACTACACTGCCTTAATACTTGTCATATCAGAAAAAACTCAGTAATGTTTAAGACTTTAACTGTTATGATAACAATATTTAAAAACAAATATTGCTGGAGAAAGTTACTATAATGTTTCTATGTTTAAAACAAGATACAATACTAAATTTATGTAATTATTTTAATTGGTATGTTAGAGATTTAGTGGGAAATACCATTTAGGTTTTCTAGATGATAAGAGGATTTCATTTCTGAAACTATAGGTGCACTCAGTAGAGCACATACTTCCACCATGCAGTGTTGATCATAATCAGCTTTCAAACAATACAAAAACGTGACCATATGTCCAATGTTAACAACAGGCATGGACCATCTTTGGCAGGATAATGAAGAATAATATTCTACATATGTTCACCAAGTTTCATCAAAATCTGATCATTTTTGACTAAGTTATAAAGCACAAAGTGTGAAAAATCAACCCTCAAGTTAACAGAAAGAGATTTTTTTTTATCTTCATGAGTCTGCTGGGGCTTTGACCTTTGCCCTTAAGTTGGATCATAGACAAATGTATATCAAGTCCATTCAGCCACTTTCAAGAAATCTTGATGACACACATACAGGAGTTAAAACATAATCTCCATCCACCTTTGGAGTGATTATACAGGCTTTTCTTTTATTTCAAAATAACAAGAGGACATCTGGCTCCACTAGGCCATCATATTTTCTACTAGCACCCTACTTGAAAATACATAAACTCTTTGTTATATTCAACAGTGATCTCTAAAATACTCAACAAGTCTTCTATTAAGCTCAATCATCATTGAAGCTTCTACCACCACCTAAAGGTAAACTGTTCCATAGGTTGATTACTCTATTGGAAAAACAAAACTGCTTAATTGGAGTCATGCAAGTTTTACATATTTTAAGCTATTGCCCTTTATTTTCAATGCCTGAAATGTTTTTGAAATCATCTGGATTTATGAATTCCAAACCTCTAGCACAATTTTATAAACATAAGTAATGCTTTCTGTAGTTATTACCTCTAAAATACTTATTATTTACTATATTTAAGAGTTAACAAATGCTTAGTAATTTTACTTAGAAGGCCCAACCTCATCAGATGTTCTTAGTTAAGAGCTGAAAACACCACTAACAGAGAGGATACCCAATTGATGACCTAAGGCTGATCAGTCATAGAAGCTTTTTTGTAGTATACTTGTTACTCGTAACTAAAACTATTTATTATTACTTGTAATTTTGAGCAATTCTTCTTGTAGAAGTTATTACATAATGAAAAATGACTTTTGCACTTATGGATGACAATTAAAATTAAGAGGGTGAACCCAAATATAAATGTTATCCTGTGACAATGGTAACTACTCAACATCAACTTTGTCAAAATTAATCATTTATAAGGATTACTTAGGTTGTTCACAGCGTACAGTATACTTAAACCTCCAAAAATACTATGTAGCAAGATAATCTAAAATAACCAACCTACCAATCAAAACTGTACATTCAACTTTACATTATTGAAACAGAAAGGCATTTTTCTTGTATACTTTATTATCAAATACTTTATGGTGAACCTTACCACTTATTCCCATAAAGAGAAGCAGGATACAGTTTTGTTTTAAAGTACTGTTTATGAAAGATACAAAATTTGGATGGGAGATTATGGTCATGAGTAAACAATTTTTTTCTTTGTGACATAATCTTGTGAAAAATGTAAATACAGTTCACAAAAATAAATAAAAATTACCTTAACTTCTCTTCCACAAACATCAAAAACTTTGTAGGAATGGTCCAGCCCTAGTGTAGAGCTACGATCTGCACTGGAGACAAATTTGTTCATTGTAAACCTTCTAAAGAGAGAACTTTTGCCAACTCCAAACTCTCCACAAAGGATTACCTTCTGTACAGGGATCTTGGTAGATGCCATGAACCATCGGTTTTAAAAACTGCTTTTTCTTTAAAGATGTAGAATGCTTGATGGTTTCATATCTTTTCCTTAGAAAAATATGCTTTTTTTTTCATTATTACAATTTCAATTCTTTAAAATATATCTGCCTAAAACGTTTTAGTTCATGTATGTAATGTACTGACTAACACCACGAGTCTTCATATTCTGATAAATTAATGCATGCATCTCAATCCCAAACATTCCTGTTAAGATTATTTCAACCTTACACATTTTCAAAACTGGGTTACAAAGCTTAATCCTTTCAGTTACTCTATCGCATAATTACACCAATAATTACTTTATTTACACTTTATTACTACAGAAACACTAACTTTTTACCTGTCAAATATCTGATTTGTTAGTATACACCTCACTACTGGTAGAGGTCCACACATATTGCATTATTAATTATTTGTTTTTACTTGTTACAACAATCAATGTAAAGAACTGATAAAACTTTTAAAAATAAATTTGTGAAATCACTAATTTACTATGTAAAATATACAGGGTAGGCTAATCTAACATTAACTCTAGTACTAGTAGTAGAGCTAATCTAACAAAGACTCCGAGGTAAGTTGATTTAGTTATTCGTAATATTAGCCCTATTAGTACTAGTAAAGCAAGGTAAAAATGAAATTATTAATGTAAGACCTCAAAGTCAGTCTAATTACGGGTAGGCCTAGCACTAGCACTACTACAGAAGTAAAATTAATTGCAATATTTATTTTATTAGTCTAGCTCGTAGAGCTAGTATTGTAGTATTACTCATACAGTAATGTTAATTTGTTATAACTATATTTCTCTGTATCCAACAAAGAAATGAACTCACATAATCACAGTTCACAAGAAATTTGTTAAACAGATAGCTTAAACAAATGTGTTTAATTTCCAAAAGCCGATAAGCCTTATAACTTGAGGTCCATACTACTAATAGTAGTACTAGTTCTACTTCTAGGTTAATAAGTGAAATCAACTTCATTAATTAAAATTAATATGTAGCTTTAACTAAATAAAGCAATAACCTGTTTAGTAAAAAACAAAATAAATCTAAACATTTTAAGCTATATTTTCAACTTAAACTTTAAAGTGTTATTCTGCTCACTTAAGCGTGGAATCCACATATTTGCAGTATTTTTCGGAAGCATTTTATCACACTCATTCACCATAAAAACGTCTAGAAAAGCTTAATCGGCAGCTACTTTGTTTAATTAAAGATGTCCTCTCATTTTCGTGTAAGCGGTCCCTTTGATAAGTTACTAAGTTAAAAGTTATATACATGGCAATAAGAACCTACAATATATTAAATAAATGGGACAAGATAAAAAAACAACAACAAATGATAGAAAGCCTAAAGACGTAAACTTTACAATTTAAATGCATCAAATGATTAACAGCAACATTATTTGAAAACAGTGGAAATTATCTATTAAAATAATAAGCTTGAGTCTATACAAATGAAAAGTTTAGAACATCATATTTTATTAATATGTAATAGATTAAACTCATGATCACCACTAGATCATAGTAGACGTGACTTTAAATTTACTCACTAATCAAGTTCGTAAGTATAAGACCCTGCTAGAAAATTATGAGTGTTCAGCGTTATAATATAAATTGATATAAATTTAAAACTGTGTTTCTTTCTTCAGTTATTAAAACTTTTAGTCTCATAAACTATTTTTGAAGTAATATATGTTTGGTTTTTACGTTTGATGTGGTTGTTTTGTTTTTAAATAAATGATATTGCTAATTCCTGATTTTTACAAGATTATCCTAAACTTGCGCACAATCCACGGAGTCTTAAAGATATTGTTAC